AGGGCTGTCCGACTGATCGTGACTCTCGGGATCTTTTCGCACCTGCGGGCCGTCGGCAATCTAGCTCTCTTCTACCGCTACACCAACGGGCTTTATCCCTCAGAGCACTCCTCCATGATACCGCCGCACGATGTGCCTGCCAGGCAGACCCGCCTGACTTCGGCCTCCCATCGAGATTATGGACAGGAGGCTTTTCCCAGTTCTACTAACTTCAGGCACTTCAAAAATCGGATTAACAAAGTTTTTTTTGGATGCTCATAGCAGCCGGCCGCGCTTGGTGTAAAAGAAAAACCGTCAAGAATGCAAAAGCTTTATTACGGATATTAAAACCCGAATTGACAAGAGAGCGGTGCAAATAGATAAACCGCTCAGTTCCTCACAGGAGTTTGTTTTGACAGCTACGTTAAGATGGTAGGAAACAGAGAGTACGTGAACTGCGTATATTGCAATGAAGAGAAGGACACTCCTGTTCACCTACTAGAATTGATGCTCGATAGGAGGCTCACCGCTGCCAGCTTTGCCAGGCATGTAAGCAAGGACAAACGGGTTGGCATTCAAGAAATAGTGGGGCAGGAGGATGATGCTGAGCAAGCTGTAGGATTATAATAACAGATTAAAGGACCAGAAATCGGTTGTACATTTACATAAATACGAACGTATATGTACGACCGACGATAAGAATAGCAGGACTAATAACTTTGGTATGAATATTTACCGCAACACTACCTACCGTAATGGAATCCTGCAAGCATTACCGTAGTGATGTGTAGCGAAGAACTTAGGGATACAAGTGAGTATTCCTGGATTGTGGTGAATCTCACCCCTCTGGCAAAAAAGGCCGACAGGACAGTGTTGTCAAGCTGACTGTCGAAAAGAAGAACTGACTGTGACCGGTATCTTCGCAATCGAAAGACCAACCTAACCAACAAAGCTTCAACTAAGGCCCGTATCGTCAGTCGCCCCTACAATTGTAGGGCGCGTTTATGGCCTCCTTGATTGTCATACTCCTTTCTCTCCTTCAAAAATGTCTAGATTACACTTGTCCCGTGTCAGCGTCAGCGCTCTCCTATTGTGAAGATATGTTTTCCTTTTAAATTGTAGGAAATTTCAGGCTGATAAAACATGATATAACTCAAAAGCAAGCACAATTTGATGCAAATAAATGTTTGTGACATAACCTCAAAATAGAGCACTGACATGGAAAAATAGAAAACTATGACAATCAAGGAGGCCATAAAGGCGCCCTACAATTGTAGGGACGACTGACGATACGGGCCTAAGAGCTACATATCGCTGTAATTACGAGCACTAGTAGGAGATGAATAGATCAGAAGAATATTTCCCCAGTTCTTCTTACCAGGACCATTTCGAAACGCATATCAATAAAGCCACTAATTTAATCATAGATAGAACCAGAATAGAACCTGGAAAAGAACTATTGCCTTTCGCATGGCTAACACAAGTTCTACGCGTATCCAGGTAGAAAGTAGGAAAAAATGGAAGGCCGTCTCGTCGACCTGAGCTGGGTACGCTCGAATCGATAGATCACGCTTGATTCGAGTGCACAGTTTGGTTTTGATAGAAAGATTATAGCCGTCGAGGCCCTAGAGCGCCTCTGTACCGAGAGGCAGCATGGCGACCGAAAAATGGTGGTTATGGCCAAAGGTGAGCCAGTGCCGCACTCAATATTTTTAAAATGGAGATAGCTAGCAATCCCGACGCAAAGTCAAACAATGCCTCAATAAGTAGTGTAGAGCAGAGGCATCTAGCCATTGGTAATGTTTGAGGTCTAATTCCGAAAATAAAAGGAACTCAGTATAAATATTTGTTTTCCACGTATGTACCCACATTCTGCGCAATAAGGCAATCAACTATTTTTATGCATACCTATTGTGATAGGTTTCTCGCTTGCTCGATCGTTGACATCTCCTGAAAACATCAACAACTCATCAATCATGGTTAAAGAATATCGAGCCTAAGATAAATTTGGGCACTACAAGAAACTATCCGAGAACCGTTCTGATCCCGCCCTATTAGTTCTTGTAATTTTCAGCCGCATTACGATTGGCTACTGGTAGTCTAGTACGGTTCTAGGATTGTTGTCTTTAAAAACCCGAATGAATTTTATACGAAACCATATCAAGCGAAAATTATAATTCTAACGGGCATCGTATCTCTTATTGAGGTAAACACAGGTTTCACGCAGAACTAAAGGCTCTCGGCCTATGAAACTGAAGGATCATACAAACATGATTTTTCGAAGTCTACGGCCTACTATGTCATGGAGTGACGAACTGATATGAAGTTTTGATCTGGTCCGAAAAACACACACCTTTGCCGATAGATTAGTAAATGTAGCACTTAAAACTTTTCCTGTGGTTTTTTGACTGGTAAATGTCCATGCTTTTCTGATTTTCTGACTTATGGACCTGTACAGGATGTTTAAAAACGTAAATATTCCTTTTCCTCATAATTTTATTGAAATGGAATTCTTTGTATATTCTGACATTTTGAGGTTTCCCTTTTACTTTCCACGCCTACTGACGAGAAAGTATTGTAGTCGTAATAAATTTCAAAAATGAGATATTCTGATGTTCTATGATATGATACATCACGAAGAACCGTATCACTTATTTCCGTCGGTCTGTCGCGATCTGTCTGTCTATCCGCTAATCCTTGGCCCATCGGTCAAATTTTAATAAAATGTTCATACAAGGTTACTACTATACCAAGGACGAAAAGCCTTTGTAGTATTTGAAAATCGGTTCAGTGTCGTCGGAGAAAAAAATCAAAAACGAAAAAATGAGAATCGCTCAATCTTCGTTTTTTGACGTTATTATTATATTATCTTTGAAATATTAAGTGGTAAAAATGGATGGTGGGGGTTGTAGAGAGGGTAAGTGAGGGTGTATCTCAATTGTTGATTTTAATTTATTAATACAGCCCGGTAATTCTACGCACCTATTAGACATATTACACATCATATATTTCCCCGTACATTTGTCCTCAAAACGATAGAAAAAAATGTTTTCGACAAAAGTCCCTGCTCCTCCTGGCTTCAACGGCCGCGTGACGGTGTTCGTATGTTTGCCCTCTGGGCGCTCTGCCGCGTCTGACGCATCGTGCATTCAGATATTGGGGAGAGGAGGCGCGGTGTTGCCAGACGGACGAAACTAGGAGGGCATTTGACGAATTTGTTTAATTTCTCTGTTAGACAAGCTCGTAGCTACTTTTTTCTTATAGAGTCGAACTTAAACATGCTGATTCCATTCGCCCAACCAGACAGCTGTTTCGTAAGTTTTTGACAATCATCAGCATGAATTAGGCTTTGTCTCTGTGTCAACGATGAAATCATAGCAACTCTGCTCTACCAAGGTTATAAGGTTTATGGCGCTGTGTTATTTCGATAGGGTGTAACTTGTCCTGAACATAGTCATTTATTGACTGATGACGTCGTTGTCTGGGAAGTGTAGAGTCTACCTACGTCATTTTTTATAAACTTTTTTACCTTATTGCCTAGCGCATCATTTCCTGATTGACCATGATCGTCTCATCACACATTTATTGCGACGCCACTGGAATATCAGTGCGCCAAATTGGAATACATATTCTGTGTTGGTACGGCCAATGACGATGAACTGGCCGAACGGCCAAATTAGCCATGCTACGTCATGTAGCAGTCACCGCTTCGGGCGCTTCAAACATTTTTCTCAGGTTTGCTGGAAAATGGCTGGCCGGTCGCGCGGTCTGAATGCTCGTGGGCCTTGGTAAGCGGGGTTCTTCAAAAAATACCTACTGCATATCTTCCTTGTATCTGAGTAAAATCTGCTTCCCCGTGTGTATTTATTGCAACATCAGGTTTTATACTACAATTCGCAATAACTGTCTCAGCCACCCTATAAAACATACAGGGCATTTCAATTAAAATTCAAATTTCTTATTTCCTCTAGGATTAATTATCCTCTGACTTTAACCGAAAACATACTGTCCCAAAGCATCTGAGCGTAACCTTTAAAGTGAATGCCTCCACGGTGGTTCGTCATTTCGAGTTGACTGCGGCTGCTTCTTTGTTTATTTTTTATCTTTCCTAGAATCCAGTAAGGTTTATTTGTCAGGAATTCGAGAGACTTGAGGAATTCGTGAACTTTTTGTTATTCTGGTTACTGGTTGTCTCCCAGTCGTTGTAATGCAAACGATTTTACTGTTCACCATATTCACTAAAAGCTAAAATATGGAACTGTGCAGCTTCAGGGTCGTCGCTCTTTTAACAAGTTTTGCATACTATAAAGGAAAAGGCCAGTGACTAACTGGAATACACAAAGCGCCTAATTCATCAGCCAACTAGGTTAGCTGAGGAATTCTCTAAGAAATAAAGGTATCCCATGTTTGTGATGCTTATATTCCGAAAGTCTCTGAAAGACTAGATGAATGTAAATCAATCAAGAAGATAGAATGTCAGTTATCTGATTCGCAGAGTGGTTTTAGGAAAAGGTATGGCACTCAGTATCATGTGTTTAAAATATACCAAGTGTTCAATAAACCTATGCTGCGAAGTTTGGAAAGTCTGATAGCATTCAATGGTTTGGAAAAGCATTTGACAGAATTTCAAGGGGAAAATTTTGTGAGATTTTAAATTTGAGTAACAGCAAAAATAAGTTTGTGCCGCTCATGCAGAAACGCAGTTAGAATAAACGGTCTGGAGTCAGAAGCATTCATCACAGAGGTCTTAAGCTGGGTAGCGTGTTGAATCACACACTCTTCATTATTGATATCGATCAGGTCATCAAAGAAACAAGCTCAAAGGTAAAGAAGCTTCAAGTAGGATACCGGAACTTAAGACCTGTAACTTTATGCGATTTTGCTACTGATTTGACCATGTTCACCAAAAAAGAGCAGGTCTTTGAATGTAACTTGGAAATATGAAAAAGCTACTTGAGTGGCCAAGAAATGAGAATAAGTACAGAAGAGTCAAATGTCGTGGTAGTTACTGAAAGAACACAATGGTGGAACTAAATGGCGAAGATATGAAGAGAAATCCTTTAAATACTGCAGCAATTGATGCTCAAGGAAAACAAGATTTTGAAATGAATGACAGAATCAGTACTGCATCAAAACTGTTCAAAGTACTAAACATCCAGTTTCTTGGCCGGAAGGAGATCTCAGCGAGAGCGATGAAGGTGACCAAGATCATTTACAGACATACCCTGATATTTGGCTGGGAGTCATACTTTATTTCCAAAAGACAAAAAAGAAAGCTATATGCTATGATATTAAGTGCCTGAGTTTCAAAATCGAACTGAATCAACAGCGAAGTGATCAGAGAAGAATTGGCAGTGGAGTCAGTTCTGAAGCTGATTAAACAGTATCACTTGGAATTGTTTGGTCACGCACGTAGAATGAGAGAACGAGCAGTCTACAAGTAAAAGTCATATGATACGCGAAGGCTGTATCAGGAAGAAAAAGGGGGAGGACGAAGAGAACTTGAACAACTTGAAACAAAAAAAAACGAAGTGGGGAGAATTTGTGGAGAGTATGACCGATTTAATTTGTAATGTATTTTTCACCAATTACATCACTGAATGATAGAAATACTTAATAACTGAAGAGCAAAAGTAGCAGTATGAGACTTTTATATACCTCCAAAGCTAAGGGCTAGATAAAGGCTGATGTAGGAATAAATAAAAAATTCAAAGTTGTTATATATTTTTAAAAGTCAATGTTCTCGTAGTTTAACATCCAAGTAGCAGAACATGCTAGGCACAACTGAAACAATCGATGTTTCTTTCATATAACGTTCTTAGCCAAGAGTTGCGAGTTGATTAAGAACTAATAGAAGGTTAGAAAGTCCGGAAGGTTATTACGTAGAAAACCGACAAAATGTCAACTTGCTGACTAGATAGCTCCTAGTATGCAAATAGTTTATTCCGCTATTACTCGCCGTGAGCAATATGAGCGTCACCCATAGCGTCTCCTATGGACGAATGACTTAACGATATGCCTCTATAGAGGATATCTTTGATAAGAAGTTTCAGAAAGGAAATTGGGTAGGTAGCAGAGTAGCAAGATCGCACCTGGATGATTGTGTGTAATGGTTGGTATGTTTATAAAATCAGAGATATTTGCTACGTGGGAAAATTATTAGTGAATATGCTCAAAATTATACCTGAGCCTTTATCTTAAAAACTATGTATATTCACTTATCTTCAAAGCCACATCATATAAAAATGGGAATGACGCGTCATACACAAAACATTTTCGCAGTGCCTCACATATAGGCGCTGATCTGCATTAACTACTTTGTCAAGCGATGTCTAGCAAAATAAATTTCTATAAAATTTAAAAAATAATGCAGAACGTAAAACCTTTTACGTTTCATAAATATGCCAGTCTGTAGCCTATTTTCTAACCTGTTAGTTGTAATATACTTCACCAACCAGTGATTTTTTTATCTCTCTGATTTTTGAAACTCAGCAAATTTGCATATTTAATTTCAAAGATGAATAAGAAAAAGTGGATGCGCAACGAATTTCTAGCTTTACATATATATCTTAAGTAAACGTATTTGAGACAATAAACCAACAGAACTATCATCAACACAGATTATTAGCGCACAAATTCTTATGCACCTATGCTCTGCCGTTTCCTTCCAGCCATAGCATACAACTTGCAGCTTAGACCTCCAATAATACCATATCTGAAGCACATGTTACATCACACCACACCTACAGCTACACAACGAGTGCACATCAAGAGAACAACAGCTAGCTCCAAGTTGACATCTTATAGCAAACATTAATAATATCACAAAAAAAACTATATAATGTCAAAAAACCGACATGTCACTTTTCAAGATGCTCAATACCCCTGCGGGGCTTTTATATATTTTGAAAATCGATGCTCTGCTAGGTTAACAGTAAGTTAGAGGCCGCATTGTGGCTATAGACACAGCGATCGATATTCCCCTTAACGTCTTTAGCCAGGAATTGAGGGCTAATTAAGGATGAGTTAAGCAGAAGTGTCGAGTGTTCATCATTTTTTTCTGTACATTAATATCAGTCGAAACGATTGATATTTCCCATGACATTGTCAGCATGGAGTTAAGAGGTAATAGAGTAAATGAATCCCAAACTTAATTTTTTAGAATCGATTTCCTTCTGGGTTAAGTGCAGGATGGTGGTCATCGAAACTAACGATATTTTCAACAATATCTTTAGCCAGGAATTAGGAACTAAAGAAGGTCGATGCATTCAGTTCTTTTGAGAATCAATATTCTGCAAGGTTAGAATTAAGCTAGTAGCGCATGATATTTCGAGTGTTACAAATCCGCGTGTTGTAGTCGAGGTGTTCAGCACGTTTGGGTAGTCCGTCAGCAACAGACTGGCGAATAGCGGATGCATTCCTTGGCGGATGTTTATGAGTCTCGTCCGATCGGTGGAGGCAGTTTTTCAGGGCGATTTTGAAATATCTCCGTTGGCCGGTGACGTCGTTTAGCGGCAGAAATGAGTCCGGCCGAAATACCGGCCCCACGAATGAATGTAGTCGGTCTCTTGTGCCTACCTCTTTTTGGATCCATCCGCCAAGAATACTAATGAACACCGACTATTAACTAAGCACAGTATTCTTGTTTCCATCACTTCCATACTGCTGCTGTGTCGCCGTTCCTGGAACCGTGATGTGTCTGCGCAATTTTTGGACATTTCAAGGTCACAGACTGGGTTTACCCGCGGCATGTACATAGCCAGGAAGGGAAATTGCGGAGTGACCAGGTACTTAGTATACAGAACTATTGCATTGTAATGAATAGCTCAATGAATTTGCAGTTTGCTCCGAGCTCCGCATAGACAAAATTTCATTTTTAATAACTGAGATAGAATGCTTACATCCACTAATGACACATCTGAAACATATCCTGTAGTCTTCATGCTGACAATCCGCCATGATTTTTACACTTTTTTAAAATTTGTTGTGAGCCACCAGAATTTCCTTTGCGAGCTACCAGTAGGTCGCGATCGACGGTTTGGCGTCCACTGCTGTAAATCAATGTTGAATCGTTGAACCAATATTTTTATCATTGATTTGAACAACATGCAAAATACAACATACAACCAATATTGAAAATTAATGTTGAGCCAATATAAAAAGATGTATTGCTTTAATAATGTATATAAACGTTGAAACGATATTGTCATAATTGATTAAGGAAAATACACAAAGAGTCGTGCAACTAATATTGAACTGATTATCGAGCAAATAAAGAAAGGCCATACAAATGAAACAGTTTTCCTTGCACCAATAGGTGTTGGAAAATTAGCTTGGACCAATGTATCCGGAATATTGTTCCTATATTGGGACGATATACGTGTGCTACTTGGGATAGTGTATTGATGGATGTTTGTATTTACTGATGTATGCTATGACATAAAGCTACGTAGAAATCCACTAAAAATGATAGATCCATCAGTAAATATTGATGGTACGGAGCACAGTAAATACCAAACATGTAGCATTCGTCAAGTAGGTTCACATTCTAAGAACAAAGCTTGGAAAAGCTCATTACGTTACGCTAGAACTTATTGCCCCACAATTTTCACCCAAATTTTCAGTATTGAGTTTTGGAGGTCTCATTTTGCCACTTCTATTTCATAGACTAAAGTGAAAACACAACACTTTTTGGGAATTTTGAAAAATGCTGCATTATGCAGTAGTAGATGGTTATTGTAATTAAACCTAAGGCCTGATTCTATCCGAAATTCGACCGTACCCATGACAATCTTGATACTCAATTCCGACTGATTTCTATAGGGAAATTATTATGACAAAACGTGCCGTAGTGCAACATTTTTAGGCGACAAGACGACACCAAAATTAATTTCAACGGTCAAAAGTCAGGTCTCTTGGTTATATGAGAATCATCTACCACTGATAATTACAATGTTGTCCCGATAGTTTTGCATTTGCATTTTTGCAGACCATACTGGAAATTTTCAAACTTCATAAGTGAGACATTCTATCGACTTTGGTTTACAAAATTGTATACAGTACAATTCGATCCCTATCAGCGAGACCCCACTATAAATAACTGCCATTTCTAACTTGGCTATTTGGGTAAACGAAAAGTCTCTATAAGTGATCAACCATAGATCCCTGAGATTCCAGTTATACAGGTTTCACGGTATTATTATGAGTATGAACGTTGTGTGCTTAGTCTGAGGTCTTATAGCATGGCCACCTTTGCCTAAAAATTGCTCAAAATTACTAAGTTTGGAAACAGCTTTTTGGTAACTTTATCTTAAAGGTCAATGTGATCATGTCGAAACCAAACCGAAACTATTCACTGATTGATTAATTGCCTATTTCTGATAGTGGGCTTATAAAAATTGCTACTTATCTGATGTGGTCCAAACTGGCCTCAAACTCTGAGCTTTTTCTTCTAGATTACGTCTTAGCATATTTAACCAACATGGCAGGAGAAACTGCCGTGAAGACGCGAAGGCCTCGGAATCGCTTACCCAACTATCTCAAACATGGAAACACCGAGAACAGTGTGATTTTACTAGATCTCAGATATTCGTAATAAGCAAGCCGAGACATCGAAATAACCTATTATAGAACATGCACGATAATATCTTCCATAAATAGCCGATTTCTTGCGCTCATTTTAATTCGATTACGATCTAATACACCAAACTAATTGATGTATTTATTGATTTATGGTTTGTGTTGTATGTTTACATGGACGCTTCCACGCATTTATAACTATTATAATTACACTTTATGGGCGCCTTATCAGTTTTCTAATTTACAAGGACAATTTTATAAGCGCCAGGATAATTTGCGATTGTTTTACGAGGCTATTATAATCTTGTGGATGTTAACAGGTCATAACTAACATTACTTTTCACTTATTTTAATCAGGATACTTTTGAACGGTGTTTCTTCCGACAAACAAGCTTAACGTTTAAGGCACCAAAAAATAATTTATTAATACTCTGCAATCCCATGTACCGCAAAATGTCTACTATATACCGGATCTCCCAGAACAAGATGACTATCTCTCCGATCCATATAGAAAATTACAGAAGCCACAAAATAGTAAAATATAGTTCAACAAAATTTTTGAGAGCGTTGTAAGTTGTAACTAGTTGGCACCTCACATGATGGTGTTCATTCTATTATACCCTTTACGAGTACAGTTATGAATTCAGTACTTTATCCTTCAGCTGAAAAAACGTATACTTGTTTGATTCCTATTTTTGAAAAAGCAGTCATTTTTCAATACTGGCGCAGGTATGTCTGCCATCTTAAATTGACAAATATTGTCAAAGTTATATTGCAGGTTAAGATGAAAATATTCCAAATTCCTCTTGATCTCTTTAGTGTCTTTGTTCACTAACTGCTTGCACCATTAATCATCTTTATCTCGAACAAATCTGTACAATAAATATAACTCGAAAGAACCATACTGGAATGCCGGAGCGACTTCAACTGTCCACAATAGCATTTAGAGCTCCATTCCTTTCGATCAGCAATCCCTTTGTTACCGGCAGTCGAACCGAAAATAAATAGAGGTCATTTATGAACGGGGAAAAAAGAATTGTCTCTTAGACGTCGAACATGCAACAAGTAAGTAAAACAAAAGACTGTCTAGTGGTACGCGAGTCTGAAATAAAACAAGTGAACGCAGCCAGACGACTTCGCATGACCTAGGGGAAGGCGACTTCAAACAAAAGACGATAAGGTGCAACATTGCCACAGACGCAACTGCTGGTCATGGTATATGTATAGATACAATAATTTTCTTTGGTGTCTTCCTTTTATTTTTTGAACGGGCCAAGTGACAAAGTGGCAGCGCCCACCGCGGCACCGCTGCAGTACGAGCAGAACAGTGGACTACACCGGTGCACCAGGCGGTGAACCCAGATTGCAGAAGGAGTTACGTATCGAAAACATTTGTCTATCGTTCTATTTTAAAGACAAATATACAGGGAAACTTATGGAGTGTAAAATATGGCTAATAGGTGCATAAAATTATCAGGGTTGGGAGCGTATGAGTATAGATATACTAACATCAAAAAAATGAGATATACGACCACCCCTTACACCCCCAACCCCTACATTTAACTACGACAAAAAATAATCTGGAAATCTGAAACGTCAGCTCCCCTGCCACTGAAACGATTTTGAAATTTATAAAGCTTTTTCGTCCTTGGCATAGTACTGTGTGAAAATTGCATCCACATCTGAGGGGTACTTCTCAAGTTATAGACGGGCCAAAGTGGGCAGACAGACAAATCGACAGATAGGCTGATGGAAATGAGTGACATTGTTTTTCTTGATGTACATATGTCGCATAACATCCAAAAAGACATCTCATATTCGAAATTTTTCGCGATTACAATACTCCTTTGCAGTGGCGTAGGAAGTAGGTTTGGCAACAATAATTATAAAATCTGTCACCCTATCACGTAAACGTGAATTGGGCCAATAGGTCAGTGTGATCTGTCATTTCCTACCAAAATGCCACTTCTTGAAACTGTTCAATTCTATTCTAGCTCCAGTAAAACAATTCCTTATCAATTTATCATTACAGGTCCGCATCACAGTATTGGACAAGAACGATAGCCCGCCCTCTTTCCCAGCACCACTCCGCTTCCAAGTATCAGAAGAACTACCCGCTGGCCAACCCGTAGCCACTCTGAAGGCTTCTGATCCTGACACCATTGGTTCATTGGAGTACAGTTTGACTAATGGGAGCGAGCATTTCTCTTTGGACGCCACGACTGGAGTATTGAAACTCAAGGAGACTTTGGACAGGGAACAACGGGATGAGTACCAGTTGGCTGTGAGGTGTAGCGATGGAGTTCAGTATACTGATGCTGTTGTTACTATTGAGGTGAGTGTTTATCTACTTTGTTGCCAAAAGATAGATGATTCTTCAGTAATAGAGTGGGTGGAGAACAAAATTCAACATTTTATTTCAAGGGGAATCATTTACATTACATGGTCAGATCCCAATTCTGGAAAACATTCAACTTCGTCATAAGAAAGAGATCACCTACCCCAGACAGAAGGCCCAGTCCGTTCTTGGTGTGCCAAAAAACATGACAATGAACCAACTTAGAAGTAGAGAGGACACATGTGCCGTTTTTAATTTTTTATATGAACACATAGAAGTTAAGATACCACAAATAAAGCGTTCAACAGTTGAAAAAAAAAACAGTGGTAACAAAATTAGAACTATAATGCCAAATACAAATAATCAAGCTTGAACTATGACATCATCCTGTACAAGGCTATTAAAAAAACAATGGCATTATTTCTAGATAAAGACAGAGACAACATAAATATTTCATATAAACATACCTAGATCCTGAAATGTCCCATTACAAAGAATAGATGAAACATATTATTCAAACACCACTGCGATGAAACGGTTTTAATCCTCCAATAAACTATACAGGGTGTCCAATAAGTATCACGACAAACTTAAGAAGAAGGTAGGCTTTGGAATGACCTCCCAAATAACAAAAACTTACCTATATAAAAGTGTCACCGTTTTTGAGATATTGATTTTTTTCTTAAATTTTAAAAAAACGAACCTTTTCATCTGTGGTCTTTAGCTGCATGTACAAATAGGGTTATACCTTGTCAATTTTTTCTATAAAGTACTTCTAGATAGTTGCTTTATCATATACGAATGCAATGTAGTTAAAAGATATTAAGGAACCATGATAAAATGAGGACTGTTTTGGGATTTATAACCTCAACTTTCATAAAATCATATCAGGAGCAGGTAATAATAATGTAGCTTTATACTATTTAGCATGTCACAGATCGGTAACCAGTGCAACTTGAATTTAAATCTAATAATTACATTGTAGTGTGTGTTAGTCACTTACAAAAGCAGCTATCACTTTTCTCTATTCCAAACAGTACGTGTGGTGCCTTTCTGAAATCTATATTCAATGATCAATCTTTTTATTCAATATAAGCCCAGTACATTTTTGTTTCACCACAGATGGTCAAAGTTGGGGAAAAAATATCAGAAAGTTATAAATCCCAAAACACGATTTTCCTTATTTGATCATGGTTCCTTAATATCCTTTAACTACATTGAATTTGTATATGATAAAGTAGAAGTATTTTATAGAAAAAAATGAACAAAGTATAACCTTAATTGTACATGCAGCTAAAGACCACAGATGAAAAGGTACGTTTTTTTAAAATTTAAGAAAAACTTCAATATCTCAAAAACGGTGACACTTTTATATAGGTAAGTTTTTGTTATTTGGGAGGCCAGTCCAAAGCCTACCTTCTCCTTAGGTTTATCGTGGTACTTATTGTACACTCTGTAAGTTCATTGTACTCTCAAATGTTTTATATGGACTTCACTTGAAGTATCCCAACCGATTTTCCTTCAACAGGAATGGTCTGACAAATATTTGTCACGACAGGTAATTCATGTATAATTAAATACCTACCGTTTAAACTGACTATTATTCAAAAAAGTTTGTAGCTTAGGAAATGTTTCTTCTTCGGCAGAAGTCAAAGTATCACAATGTATATGCCACTATTGCACTTTAAAGCACGGATGTTTTTGTATGTACTGGTTACGCTAATCATACAGAATTTTGAATCGGTATTTGTTCTCCAAAGATATATTCTTTCCCTATTTCGCACACTGTATCCTTGTTGAGGAAATATTCTAGGATTCCTGTTTATGAGTACTTTTCGTACTTACTTTCTCACTATCTCTCTTAGGTAATGTCCGCCAGAGTAGCCTCTATCTTTCAGATTGCCTCACTTGGTAATTGACGGTATAATATTCCTCGTAACTAAGGAATGCGGAAAATACTGTGATAAACATTATTAGGATGGGCATTAATTCAACATCCAACATGATACGTATCCATACTTTTTACAGATTCTTATCTAACTCTCACACCTTTGCCAAATTACGACGATTCACTATCATCAATTAACATCGCATCAACACTGCAACGCACAGCCTACAGAGAACCAGCAAAACAGACAAAACACCATCGGATATTCATCGTCGGCAGTTTATCATAGTTACCTCTATAGAGATGCAGATCTGACAGATTTCAAACTCTAACAGCCTCCAAGCAGCGAACCGCAATTGTTGATGGTAACCGGCATATTTTACAAGGTGTCCTGCTTTACAGTCAGTCATTGCTCTTACCCAATTCAGCCCGTAAGCAACTCGACTTCAACCCTATTTTGCCTTCGGTTGCGTTGGTTTTGTGTTCCCACCGAAAACTGCTAATCAGCTGTCGTTTTGAGGTGATATGATTACTATAGTCTTGTACCGAAACGGAAGAGAGAAGCAAACCGCATTGTGCGCCATACATAAATAGAGTATTTTGGTTCCTAAAAGTCCTGATTGAAAGAAAAGCTCATGCAGTTCGCAAATGAACTCTACCTAGATGTTAAACAATCCAACGAATATATCTAGTATCATTTATCTGGCAAAAATATTGAAATACATAACTTTGTATAATCAACCCTGTAGAAAATAACATTATGTCTCTTTTGTCTGGCGATCACTAGTTCACTATTAACTTGCTTGTCACTTCTGGAAGGTTTTCAACACTGCAGGTACATTGAATACTTCAAAGAACACAAAAATGTGGTAGAGAAGTTCTTTTATGTGATTATCAAAAATTATTTGGGGATACGACCGGAACATTAGCCGAAGTATCACAACATGACATTTTTCATCAAAAGTGGGTTGGCTAACTGGCTGCGTTGCCGTCTTTTTGATGGAGTTGCTAGTTGCTTGCAATGAGAATGGTCCCTTATAGTTCAAATCAGAAAAGTTTTGCTTAATGCATAATGGAGAAAAAATCCCGAGTGTTAGTTATCCATCAATTTAACTTTGTGAGTGTGGAAATAGTATGTTCCTAGGTTCGTCTCTAGACTTTCGATAAGGTGATAAGTCCTTCTGGTGTTCAAATTTCCTAGGGTTTTGGAGTACGCTGCAAAAATATCCTTAGAAACCGCTACTTAAAGTAGGTAACTCCCGTTATAGATGCTGCGAGTTGTGTTCACCGTGTATAGAAAACAAAATTGCTATTTTATCCATAAATTCATACACCCCATCTAGGCTTTGCATTTAGTCTTGAAAATTGCTCTATGCTTAACAATATTAACAGCAAAGAAATACCTATATAAGAAATTTACACTAACTATATTAGACGTATATTTGCCTAATGTTGATTACCAGGTGCAACAAAAGTAACGGGTTGGCTCTGTATTTTTCAGCTGTATCCTAACTTCAAACAAAGAGTTCAATGATCACCTTTTTAAATGTTTTTGTCAATAAAAAATTAAACATTCTTCTTCCGAATATGTATTAAAATCTTATATCACAGTTACGTCTAAAGATCAGATAAAGGGCCAAATATGTAAGGCTAGGGAGAATTCCTAGAAATTTCACAGGTTTACCGACAAAAAGTACTTATTCAGTAACTTTCCAGAACAATTTTAAAGGTGACCTTGGATTTAACCTTGAACCTCACCTCCAAACTGATTCAACTTTTTGCTTAACTGGAAACCCTCGTTTAACACCCGCTCTGAAAAAAATTATTTTCTAATTTCATTTACTATTAAGACCTAGAAAGTGTGGTCAAAGTCAAATCCTTGGTCAAAATTAAAATCTTTGTTAAAGATTTTTGCGATTAATAATCATGCTAAGCTTCTAGGAATTTTCCCTAGCCTCAGACTTTTACCTAGAGAGGTGACCGTGATCTTAGATCTTAATACATATTCAGACGAGTTTTTGATTCTTTCGATTGCCGCTGTCAAGAATGGAACTCTTCATTTAAAAAACAAGAGTTGACCTTGGTATTATACAGACCTGCCATTGACCTTTTTCAAAAATACTTACTTGGAAAAATGGAAAGCTGTTTCCTTACTTTTGTTTCACCCGGTATTTATGGGAACCCGAACTACGTAACACCTCACGAGCTTTAAAAACAAGAACATGTGTTATATCCACTAATAAGTCAACATTTTCCTCCAACTATCACTTTCTGATGAGAAACAAGTAATCAAGCAACCTTATCAATCACCTTACCACCAACATTACTCTCAAAACCTAGAGACATTGCGAGGGGAAGCCAGGTAGCATGTTGTTAGTTGTTAACCAGCTACTGGGCGACGAGCGGTCAGTAATAAGGCTGACGAGGCCGATAACTTGTTCCCGAAGTGCGAAATGAGTAATAAAAGGAGATGATGCCAATGTGTAACTGTAAAGGGTATCATTAATAAATAACTATTATACGCGAGCTTTCGCTAATCGACTTTAAGTCAGCTAAGCGTAGTAGAGATGTTGTTAATTAATATCATAAAATGACAATTTTAATTAATAAGGTGTCTCAAGTGGACAAGTTTCCTAAAACTGCATCAAGGAATGGTAAAAGATGTGTTTTAGAAATGTAAGTAGGGCGACCATAAAAATCAGGTTTTGGCGGAATTTCTTTAGCGCCTGACCCGTAGATATGATCAAGTGACTACATTAGACACTACTTAACCACATAATATGTAAACACAAAGGTCATCGTTCACTATACCGTATGATAATAGGAGTAGCATTGTACGGGGTACATACGCGAATGATGAACGTTTGCGATGGCACCCCATGGATAGAATGACTAAATAAATTGGTTTTGTGGGAGAAACATGGTATAGTTTATTCACTGAAACAAAGCCGTTACGTCATATTTAGTAAATTTGAATGCCAACCATAATGCAAAATAGATCCTAAATTGGTACGTATAGTTTGAATTTCTCGGGTACATTCATGCTGGTAACAGTTTTCTGTTTTGCGACGTGGTCGCAAAGCTTGTCAGGTAACTACGAAAATGGCTG